ATCCATTTCCGGTCCCATCATAATTACAGGCTAAAGATTGGAATAATGAGGAGCATGATCATCCGAAGTCTACGCCTAACAGATGTAGAATTCTGGGACGAGAAGCTGGACAAATTGACGAGGATATTCCTCGGCAATGGCTATCCAAGCGAATTTACTCAAAGAAATATACGGGCCGTGAAAAACTGATGGCAGAACGGGGACTATGAAAGAACGGTAAGGACGATGAAGGACTCACAAAAGTGGATATCCCTGCCCTCCTGCGAACTAACTCAAAAAACTACGACCAATATTGAGTAAATGGAATAGTCAGGCGGCCATGAAAGATAAATCAACACTTTTCACAAGTCTACCGACGCGACATGAAAGGGTAGATAAATTCTATTGTTGAGGAGTTTACTGTATATAATACGGCACCTGTGAACAGAAATATATATTGGCGAAACAGAGAGAAAAATTAGCACACGAATCAAGGAACATCAGAGGCTCTGTAGGAAAATGGATACCGAAAGATTAGAACTAGCGGAAGACATCGCACAGACTGGACACGGGATCAATTGGAAGGCAGCAGAAAGAAGAGCCCGATACGATGACAACACAAGGAAGCTGAAGATTAGGGAGGCCATTGACATCCTTGGGGAGACAAATCTAATGAAGTTAGAGTGAGCAATAACTTTGCCTACTGCCAAAGCAAAATCGGGGAAAACAATAGAGCAAGACCAACAAAAAGGAGACGCCTGGATCAAGGATCTATAGCTAACCGGAGGAAAAGGGATCGCGATGAGGAAATTGGGGGGGAGTGGTATTCGGCAATAAAGCAAAGACGTCAGTGAGTGATGTCCATTTCGAATAAACCAGTACAACTTTGCAGGCCTGGCAGTCAGGGTGCTGGGCAGACGGATTAGCAAACCGTCACGGAAATTCTGCGTTATTTCTGATATCTGCAAGCATGAAAATCGGAGCTTAGGCGCTCTGCTCAGTGAAGCGGCAGTGTACGTGCTTCTAGGGCCCTGAGAAATAGCGCCTGGAGTGAAATGGGCACAACGACTGGAACCGAGTGAAATCGGTCAACCAGAAAGAGAAGGAACGGATCTACGAGACAATGAGGTGATTCGGATTGGAGACCCTAGTCGGATCAGCCGATCGAAAGAAAGAGGGTCGTGGTCAATAGTAGGTGTGATGAGGCCACACTAGATTTGCCACAAAAGGGCACACATTTTGACGAGTGGAATGTAAACACGTGAGAAGTTGTGATAGGGCGTGAGTTGGATAGGAGGGTAAAGAGTTGATAGATGGGCCAGGACAGAAAGAGGAGTGATAGTGTAACCGTTTTCGGTAGAACGTTTGTCGAGGGATTGGCTTCACTTGTCTCTTTGACGAGCTTGTAGGTTGGCGCGGAGAATGGCAAAACTCACTGATGAGGCCGACTACGATGCCGACGAAACGTCTAATAATGTAACAAGTCCACTGTCTCGTGCTGGGGATAATGATAACTACTATGGGAAAGGAATTAGGACAAGGTGTGTTCAATTTAGTAGCCCCAACAACAAGACCAAGTTGCGAAAACGAGGTCAAACCACTTCTATTAATCGAAAGGAGACTGCGACCATACCGGGGGCCACACCATCTTATTCTTCTTTCTTCGATTAATCTAACATGTTGGACGAGTGAGTGAATTGATATTAAGTAAAAGCTCCAGCGTGATCTGGCCAGGATCCTGACTCCGGAAGACTTTCAAAAAAACTCCAGAGCATGACCGAAAGAAAATCACCTGAGGTTAGAACCATCACTGAGCAGGCAATTTAAGTCCCCTTCTTTTGGATAACGGTTCGACATCCCCTCTTTCCTTCAATCTATCACTCAAGCATAAGTAGCTCCTAGAGGTTGTTTGACCTTGTTTTCGCAACTTGGTCATATTGGTAGGAAGACTTAGAGGAACGCACCTTGTCCGGACTGCATTGATTGCATGATAATTTCCAGAGAAGGACCGTGGGCGTGATATATTACTAGACGCTTCGCCAGAATATAGTATGCATCATCATTTTCAGAGTAGGAGCGTGGACGTGGTACATTCCCAGACGTTTCGCTGGCATCGTTTGACCTTGTTTTCGCAACTTGGTCATAATGGTAGGAAGACTGATAGAAACGCACCTTGTCCTGAGTCCATTGACCTTGTTTTCGCAACATGGTCATATTGGTAGGAAGACTTATTGGAACGCACCTAGTCAGGGGTCCATTGTACTTGTTTTCGCAACATGGTCATATTGGTAGGAAGACTTAGAGGAACGCACCTAGTCCGGAGTCCATTGCTGCATGATCATTCCCAAAGTCGGACCGTGGATGTGGTACATTCCCAGACGTTTCGCCGGCAGCGTAGTCAGCATCGTCAGTGAGTCTCTCCATTCTTAGCACCATTCAACAACTCGTCAAAGAGACAAGTGAAGCCGATCCTTTGACTAAAACGTGCGCTAAACAGTTGTGGTATCTCCCCTT